GGGGCCGTGCGTCGGCACGGCTCCTCAGTGCGGATGAATCTTAATGTTTTGAGGAGGTGTATGTGTGGCTGTACATTGGATACTGTACATCGGAATCACAGACTCTAGCCTACGTCTTGGAAGTATGACCCAAATAAGAATTTTCACTGGATATTGTTATCTGAACAAAGTAACAAGTCTGCCACTTCTGTTCTGACCAACTGAGGAAAAAAGCATTCATCGAGCTACCAATGGTGATTAAATCTAATGATCGCTTAGCTCATATCACATAAAAACTAGGGATGTAACGATTCACTCAACTCATGATTCGATTCACGATTTTGATTTCACGCTTCGATTTTCTCACGATTTTTTTAACAAAATGAGATTGAAGACATTATACAGTAAATGAAAAGGTGTCGTTTTATTAGGCTATTGCTGCACGTTTCTTTGTGAAATTCAAATATAACAAAACTAAATTGAAATTTTAAAACAAACCCCAAATCACACAAATAAAAGAAATAAAAGAAATATATTAATATGAACAAACTAAGGCTTTGTCTGTGCTCTTTCCATTTAAAAACCACTGGATGCAGCATACATGCAGCATGAGCAGTTTTTAATCTAAATTAGACTGTATAATTTCGAAATTTGAAGCAAGTTTTGTGAAACTATACTACATAAAACATATCTGAACAAAACAGCAGACGAGCTGAATGAGATGCAGATTCACTCTCTGACAGAAGGTGGCACGTATGAACCGCAATGATTCAGTGTTTCCTGGGTTACCGCTGTAAACAAAGCAGAGCTGGGCTTATGAACATTACTTTAATATGCACTGTTCAGAGGCAAGATGAAAAGAAAATACCACGTAAACTTTTCTAAAGATAGTCAGTTCCCCTTAGATATACATTCATATAAACTCCTTTGTTTGGCATCTCAACCGATTTGAATCGTCACATATTTGAATCGATTTTCGACCGGCTCGCGGTTAATCGTTACATCCCTATTTATCACTGCTGTTTTTGCAGCCTGTGTACATACTGTGGGGTCTAGAAGTTTATCTTAAAGGGCACCTATTAATTAAATGTCCCTTTTTACAAGATGTAATATAAGTCTCTGGTGTCCCCAGTATGTGTCTGTGAAGTTTCAGCTCAAAATACCCCACTGATCATTTATTATATCATTTTGAAAATGCCTTTTTTGAGTGGAAGCTAGGGCTGTGTATCGTGATAAATAAAATATCGTGATATCCGATAATATCGTCTACCTAAGCCCCACCTCCACCACGCCCCGCCCCATGTTCAGTTGGTCTTAATTATTGCCACAAAGTTTGGTTTTAGTTTTCTTAGTTTGTGCTTAAACTAACAGAAAACATTAGCTTTGCTGTTATTTTGGTGTTGCTAATAATTTACACTCTGTTCTTATTAAATTTCGTTTTGTGAGGAGAACTGTTGAGGAAAATCATGCAGGGATTAAAAACAAATTCTGAGCAAAAACGTTAAGGTGGTTTTTTTTTCCTTTCTGGTAGCCTACTAGTTCGGAGATCTCTTTTGGCCCGTTTTTAACTAAATAAAAATAACTGCTTTATTTATTTAGAAGCAGGGTAATTAAAATTTCATTTGTGTATTGTAATTTTTATAATTTTTATTTTATTAATCAAAATACAATGCCCACAATATAATATTCAGTGATAATATTCAGGGCTGCCGAAACTCCGAACGCATGCATGTTGAGGGGTGAGCTGAGAAGCCTGCTAATGTCTTCATCCGTTTGCAACAAAACTTTATAGATTAGGCGGCAGCAGCTGCTGTCAATGCACGGATCCAATACACCCTTGTTTTCTTTTTCAACTCTACATTCACTTATGACATAACCGATTGTACTTATGGGATATTTTGATATAATTCTGTGTGTATTTGTCCATTCGAATGTGTAAGAATGCGAGAAAGAGCACTCATTCCAGTGTTCGCGCATATAAGAGGCGGCTTTTGTGCGTGCGAATAGAGTTCTATTTCCTCTTCTTGCAGTTGAATCTTTTGAAATCACAATAACTGCGAATACAGAAATCGAGAAGCAGAATCTAAATGTAATTTTATAACAAGTAATTTGATTCCTGACCTACGCATCTGATCTGATTTCCGAAATTGGAATAGCTTTTCGATTTAAAACAAAAACGCACCAGTGTAAATGTAGCCTTACAGCTACGGGGGCTGGGACATCTCTGAGTGTGGCGCGTGACACGGACCGACTGTGCAGACCGATCGGTGTATTACAGTAGTACCACGAGCAGACTGCTCCATACGTTTTCGCATCGCTCTCGCGGATGGCAAACACTGATCGATCTGCGCCACGCCGTTTCTAATTGAGCACACCTACTAGTGCTGCAGGCTTATTGGCTCACTGACGTTGATGAGATTAACCCCTTAGGTATCGAAATTTGGTACCGAACGACGAGACGTTTTTCGATACTCTATGGTATCGAGGCAATTCGGTCGGTGCCTAAAAAGTATCGAACTCGATACCCAGCCCTATTTATTTCCATGTCTACATAAAATAAATCCAAGATATAAAATGTAGTCTCAGACCTTTGGACCACGTTATGTAAATCTCTAAATATGGCATTTGTTGAGTTTCGATGCATCTGTGTGTGTTGGATTTAACATCGGCTCCTGTTGTTCATGTTTGACTCAGAGTGATGTGGGCGGCGAAGTTCTGTTCATCAATCATGTCTATTAACATTATGAAGTTATCTATATGCCTACTAAAGGCACAAATGATTCACAAGGGTCTTTCAAATGCTCAAAAAATCTAGATGGATAAACAGATGTACAGTAGAGGACAGAAGAGAGACTCTCTTTATCACATATGGGCATACTGTCCTACAGTATACCGTCCCATTAGCTATGCCCATGTTCTCGGAGATCTAGTCTTTGACTAAATATTTCTATAAGTTTCCAGTCCTTTCTTTCTAATGTAGTAGATTTAAAGGTATTTAAATTTTGCATATTCAGAAAAAAAGATTAAAGGAATATAAAATAATCATAGGAGAGGAGTGGAGGATGTATATTGGACAGGCTTCTTCAGAGCAATACCATCTGGTCCACTGGTTTCAACCATTCTGAATGTCTCCGCAATACTCCGCCTTCCCAATGAATCACACAGTTGAATTTATTTCTTGTATTTAACGACCCCAGAAGCAGAGCAAAGGATATTGCTAATATAGAATTTTTCAAATTGTTAAGTTAAATATCTGAAAGGAAGCAAACCCCCACAAGGATTCTTTCTATTTTAATTCTGGAAGCTGCGATTATACTCTAGAACCCTCCAGTGGTGCCTGTAAGGAAAAGTGGTCTTGTGAAGTCCAGCTGCTTGTCAAACACTGCTTTAGTGTTCCTGTACTTTAGTGTTCCTGTGTTTCCACCAGTTCTGAAAAAAAAAGTCTGATTTCTCTTTCTCTCTCTCAGATAACAGAGGAGGAAACGGCCACACAGGAGTGTGTCTGGCTGTGTGTGGGTTTCCACCACTCCTGTTACTTAAACTTCAATATAACACACACACATCCTGCCACAATGTCACGGAGGGAACGGCCGTGGTCGGTGTACATGTCAAACACTTTAGAGCTTTCCTCAGAAATGCTTGGACTAGCATTGGAAGGTATACAGTAGTACCAGTGAACTTGGGTTTTGATATTCTCTTGTATTACATTTTACTTTGCATTATATCAGGTCAGAATTATATCACTTCTTTCTCTTTCTCCTCTTTGTAGGGAACAGTCAAGATCCAGATGAGCCAGTACTGGAGTTCAGTCTTGGTCAGTTTTGTTTTTCCAACCATCACATACTCAAAATTTTCTAAAGCCGCAGAAATGGCACCAGAAATTAACTGTTCTCCATTAGCAGCCAAGACTGCTGGGCATAAAATGGTTCAGCTGGCTATCAGATCTGATCTTTAGATTGTAAATGACACTGAACAGTAGTATAAATATTTCTGTGGGAGCTCTGTGTCCTACTGTATGCTTATGTGAAGTTAACCACTAAAGCAGCTGCGTTTGGATTAAGTGACTGCCTCTATCTCACATAAGTTGTAAATAAAGTGGTTTAACTGTGGAGGTCTGATTATATCTCTGAGAACCAGCAGGTCTTAGCAAATAACAGTTGAAGTACACTGTAGCTCATTCATATATACAATGCTTCGTCTGGAAAATCTTCACACTGTCATGACCCTGAATGTGAATGTGCTTGTGTGTGATTGTGTAGTCTGCAGCGAGCTGACCACACCGTCTCTGGACCGAAAACCCAACTGTTTTGTCGCTGTGAGCTGTACCACACCTCCTCAGGCTTTCTGGACCAAATATGCACAGACAGAAATCATTGAGGTGAGCGTGAACGGTACTAATTGTAATTTGATTCACTGGGGCATATTTCTGTTATGTCACTCTTTGCTAATGCTATAAATTACTCAGGGAACCATTTAATAAGTTCATGAACACTTCAGTTATATGAATGTATTATTTGTTTAAAAAAAAACAGTTAAAGAAGTATCCATGTGAAATATTATTAAAATTCGTAATAACTGTTTTCTAATAACTGTCCAGTGGTCAACCGATGCCGATTATACTTTTTCGTATGCATTTACTTTCTTTGTTTAACAGTACTGTCTAATAATTTAGGTCACACTTTATTTTAAGGTCCAATTCTCGCTAATAACAAACCATTAACTACGACTTTTGCCTTAAGAAACTCCTGATTTGCTGCTTATTAATACTTAGTAAAGTAGTTGTTAAGTTTAGGTATTGGGTAAGATTAGGGATGTAGTTATGTTAATAATAGGCATGCAAATGAGCAACTAGTTAATAGTGAGAATTGGTTCCTATTCCAAAGTGTTACCATCATTTCTTAGACAGAACTGTTAAACAGAGACTGTAAACCAATGAAGACTGGGAGCATGGGAGCTCTGTGCACTCAGACGCTGTCAAAATAAAAGTCCCGCTTCTGACACATCAGCTAAAGAGAAAAACTTATCAGCCGATTCAGAAAATTCAAAATTTCCAAATATTGGCCGATATTTGAGCCTTGGCGATAAATTTGTCGACCACTAGTCTTCAGTGTCACATAATTCTTCAGAAATCATTCTAATATGCTGATGTTGCAGTTCTAATATGCTGTGTAATATTTTCCTGGAAACTGTAATACTTTTTTCAGGATTTTAAAAGAACAGGATTTATTGAAATAAGAGTTCAGTAAATAAAATCAAATAGTTCAGTCAGTTCAGCTATGTTACTGATTAAATTGGTAAATCCTGTGTTTGTGAGTTTTCATTGAATAATTCATTAAAAGGATCAGCTCATAAGAGTCATATGTTTGTGAATGTTTATTTTGGACTACAAACTAAATATGGGTAAATATGATTTCTTTTGCCATAGGGCTGTAGAGAAAACTATTGCATAAAATCAAAGATTGGTTGTGGGATTTTAAGAATCATCATCAAGATCATTCAAATGAAGTTCACAATTAATCAGAAAATCTATATTTTTGTCCAGCCCTAGTGTGTAGAGTTGACCACTTGTGATCACCCAAGACGGATGTTATTTTTCTGTCATTTATGGAACAATGTGGACTGATTTGGATGACTAATCGAAACAAATGGTTTGACGTCTGTTTGCAGGGTACAAATAATCCCATGTTCCTCAGCAGTGTGGCTTTCTTCCAAGACTCCCACATTAACCAGCACACACAGGTCAAGCTCTCTGTGTACGATGTAAAAGATCGCTCACAAGGAACGGTGAGATAAATACCACGCACAACAAATGAGAAGAACCGCTCTGATTCTGCTACTTTGTCTTTACCTTTTGATCCTTTTATATTATTTTTCTCACTTTCTAGATGTACCTTCTTGGCTCAGCGATGTTCCCAGTGAAGGATCTTCTGCTGGAAAAGAACCACAGACTAAACTTACCTCTCAGGTGATCCAACCATCTTTGTTTGAAGTCATGACAGTTTAAGCAGTCTCATCTAGAGGGGCATCTAGAAGTGGTTAATTGCTGAAAAGGACACAGGCATATATACATGCAGTTTGAACATATTGACATCTGTTGTCCCTTTTCCTCAGGTCAGCAGAAAACAAGCATGTGGGTAGTATTACAGTCATCGCCTGGCAGCTAGAGGAGAAGAGAGATCAGCATACACCAATCAAACAACTACAAGACACCATCAATGGCAGGGTGAGCCTGACTATGCCCCAGTGACCCAACTAAAAGGATGTTTGTTCACTAGTTTTACGCATTCTGACATGTTTTCGTTCTTTCATGGTCCGTTGCTGCAGACTGTCCTCTCCGTGGATGAGAGTCTGACAGAATCTGTGGGAGTCAGAGTGAAATACGCCTCACTGTGGAAAGACTCCTTTCTACGATCTGGTAAGAATGTCAGCCACTAGAAGAAAGGCTTATTTACACCCTAAGACGTATTCATTGTGATGGAAATGCAGTGTATGGCCTAATGTGTGGGGCATATAACTGTTTCATTGGTTTCAATAGAACAAAGATAAATGTTCATTGGAAAAGATTATCTAAACATGTCATTTTGTCTTCATTTAGGACCCCATGTTCATTGGACATTGGGCTTTCAATCTCTATATTTTTGTCCTGCCTGAAAACTTCTTCTCTATATGATGATTGGATGAGCTCTCAAATGCATGGGACTCAGCAACCATTGGCTAGTAATTGAAACTTTAGGAACAACATAACACTACAATTAAAATTGTATAAATGTTATTTGCATTACATAACAAAACATTACAACAAGTGGGCATTTTCAAGAAACATGCAGAGCACACATTTTATTCAAAACAGTTGGCAAAATGAAATGTTGTTTTGTGAAATATTATTAACATTAAAAGTAACTTTTTTCTATTTTAATATAATTTAAAATGTAATTTATTTCTATGATAATAAATCTGTATGTCCAGCAGCTATTCCTCCAGTCTTCAGGGTCACATGATCCTTCAGAAATCTTTGTAATGTGCTGATTTGGTGCTCAGGAAACATTTATTTTTATTATGAATGTTGAAAGCTGCTTAATATTTTTGAAGAAACATACATACCTTTTTTGAATTTTCGTAATTTTGTACCAGTGTTAAAGTCTTTACTGTCACTTTTGACCAATTTAATGTATCCCTGTTGAATAAAAGTATGAATTTCTTTCTAAAACTTTTGAATGGTTGTGAACATTAAGTAATTAAAAAACAGCTGAACACGGAGTGCTCGGAGATAAACATACCGTTAAAGAAGTCTGTTTTGACTCAAAGACCATTGATGTTCATAACCGTATTTTTTTACGTATTGCCATTTATGAAGATTTCAAGAACTTTATTGTCATATGTACAAGGTACAATGAAATTATTGTGTTTATCTCGTGATAAAGACGGGGCTAGGTTATTATAAAAAAAAAAATTACATTTACATAGGGCTGGACGATATGGCCAAAACTTATATCACGATATATTTCTGGACTCTGCTTTAAACTGCTTTGCGTCTCTCCGTCAGATAACCTCACGTGCATGATGCGCCATTTACGGGTATTTCCCGGTATTTCCCTAAACCGACACACATCAATTTATTTAGATTTTTTTTTTTTTTTTTTTTTCAGTTTACGAAAATGTTTTTTGAAATATCGAAATATCGGAAATGTGTTTAAAAATCATATCACCGTTATTGAAAAAAATTATATCGCGATACATATTGATATTGAATTATTGTCCAGCCCTACATTTAAATTTAATTTACAGCTTTTCTGTAGTAATTTGAGAAGCAGCTTTTTGTAGCAACTTTGCAGAAAATTTTCATATCTTGCCTTAACAAGTGATGAGTGACATCTGTGCTTTCTCATTCTTGAAAAGGACTGGCCACTGCTTGATACATGTTGCTTAATGTCTCTATGGAAAATATTGACAGAAACAGTGCTTTTCCCAAGCTCAGTGGCACTTAGTTCCATTTGTATTGACAGAAGTGAAATCCAGGACCTGGTCATAATATCATAAATGCATGCAAGTACAGTTTTAATGCTACAGCCTGGCACAATTGATTTCTCTTTATGGTTTAATTCTATTTCTGTCTCAGTGTTTGGTGGCACCATGTCGCGTATGTACCGTTTTCCAACCACTGATGGGAATCATTTACGGATCCTGGAACAGATGGCTGAGAGTGTCCTGTCACTTAACATCCCACGACAGTTCATCAAACTCTTATTGGAAGAGGATTTCTCCAGGTGTGCATCGTGATCTTAGACACACACAGTTGCATCCACACTATGACCATTTTGATGATATGAAAATGTGCAAAGAGCACTCCTTTACATGATCGTGTTTTTGGTGTAGGGTATCTGAGCTGGAAGAGTTGGGGGAGTTATCACCGTGTTGGGAGAACCTCAGACGGCAAATCGTGACACAGTACCAGAGCATCCTTCAGACCTATCAGGATACACTCACAGACCTGCAGGACTACAAAGGTCAGTCTGCATTTGGAGGTTGCAATAGGTGTTCCTGTTGTGTTACACTCTTCATTTCAGAACTTTCAGATGTTAAAGGGGTCATATGATGCGATTTCAATTTTTCCTTTCTGCAACGAATGCCTCGTTTATAATGGGTTTTAATGTTTTTGTCTCGTCGCTCCGGCCGGGACACGGCATCAACATTATGTGACATTTCCGTCTCACGCTTGAGGTATTCGGCCAATCACAATGCACTGGATAGCTGGCATAAGTAACTGTAATTTAATTACACATTTTTTCTTAGTAACTGTAACTGATTACAGTTATATTTATTTTGTAATTAAATTACATAATGCTGTTACATGTAACTAGTTACTCCCCAACACTGCCAATCACAATGCACTGGATAGCTGGCCAATCAGAGCACACCTCGCTTTTTCAGACCGATGA